TGTATCTATTTTATATTGATTTGGTTTTACTGGTCTTTGATCGTAATAAAGTATACTCTGCTCTACTCTACTCCACTCCACTCTGCTATGGTTTTTCCAGTAGTGTTGTATGGAAGTGAGAGCTGGACCATAAAGAAAGCTGACCGCCAAAGAATTGATCCTTTCGATTTGTGGTGCTGGAGGAGACTCATGAGAGTCCCCTGGACTGCAAAGAGAACAAACCTGTCCATTTTGAAGGAAGTCAACCCTGAGTGCTCACTGGAAGGACAGATCCTGAAGCTGAGGCTCCAATACTTCGGCCATCTCATGAGAAGAGAAGACTCCCTGTAAAAGACCCTGATGTTGGGAAAGTGTGAGGGCAAGAGAGAAGGGGACGACAGAGGACGAGATGATTGGACAGTGTCATAGAAGCTACCAACATGAATTTGACCAAACTCCGGGAGGCAGTGGAAGACAGGAGGGCCTGGCGTGCTCTGGTCCATGGGGTCATGAAGAGTCGGACACAACTTAATGACTAAACAAAAACAAAGGAAAAAAAATCAGAGGCCTGTGTTTGTCACACTAGGTATTTGTCCCTGAAAAGGCTGATTCTAGTATGAAACCAGATAACCACTTCCAATAATATCAAAATTCATCTGGATATTAAAGTAAAATAAGTAGTTTCATTGTTGGTATGAGTCCAGGCAACAGTAGTATGTCTACTTCTACAAGCCTTACTCATCTAAATATTATTTAATTGTTTAAAACAGTGGTTCTTAACCTTGGGTTACTCAGGTGTTTTTGGACTGCAACTCCCAGAAGCCTTCACCACTACCTGTGCTGGCTGGGATTTCTGGGAGTTGCAGTTCAAAAACACCTGAATAACCTAAAGTTAAGAACCACTGGTTTAAAATATTTTTACCCCACCTTTCTCCTTAAAAAGGACCCAAGGCAGTTAACATAACTAAAAACAATATTCGGAGCTAAAAACAGTAAATATACAAATACTTAAAAGGATCAAACAAATGCCACCTAAAAACAGTAAACAAAAGCAACACCAAAACACATACAAAGTAGTAAAGTACAGCCATCCATTTTAACTCCTCTCTGGCTGAGAGAAAGCTTGCCTGAAGAGAAAAAAGCCTTTGCCTACTTCTGGAGAAACAGAAGATAGGGCTGGCCTGGCCTCTTGTGGGAGGGAGTTACGAAGTCTAGGAGCAGCAACAGAGAAGGCCCTCTCCTGTGTCCCCATCAGACACACCTTTGCAAGGAGAGATAGAGTTGTGTGTCATCCACCTTAACATCAGGACAGGCTTGTGGAGTTTGCCCTTGTGGCCCCTGCTTGTCTTTCCCTTACAAAGGCTCACGTTGCATTTTCTTCTCACTGCCACCGGTGGATTACCTCAATCCACAATATAAATGACGTTTGTTTGAACACTTCATTTGTGAACATAAACAGAACTTATTTAGTGAAGTGAAGGAGATTGAATAATAACAGAAGTTTCTCAGATAAACATTATACACAAACAAATCAACAGTTCTCTCAGTACATACTTCTTGTCTTTTGCGATATCATTACCACCTTCTCTGGCTAATTTCCTAACCATCTCTGTCTCTCAGTATCTGTTCCCCCTCTCTCTGACTAACCAGCCCTATCTCTCTTCTCCTTCTCCCACCAAGCCTCATGTAGCTGCTGACTCCACCTCTCCAGTCCTCTCATAGGTTCATGCAAATCAGCTCATGAATATGAATGGAATGAGTGATGTGGGCGATTGTCACAAGGCTCATAATGGGAGATGTGGTCCTTGGCATAGCTTGGAACCCATTTATTTAGGGCTTTATAGGTTAGAACCAGCACTTTCAATTGTGCCTTGAACGGATCAGCATCCAGTGGAGCTACTGTATTGTGATCCCTGTGACCAGTCCCAGTTTGACTGCCATGTTTTGGACCTGCTGAAGTTTCTGGACAGTATGCAGAGGCAGCCCCATGTACAGCATGTTACAGTAATCCAGCCAGGATGTAGTTAAGGCATGTGCCACTCTGGCCAGATCAGACCTCTCCAAAAACAGACACAGCTGGTGCACTAGTTTTAATTGTGCAAAGGCACTCCTGGCCACTGCTGAGACCTGGGCATCCAGGCTTAGAGATGAATCCAGGAGCTGTCCCACGTTGTGTCCCTGTGTTTTCAGAGGAACTGTAAACCCAGCCAGCACAATCTGTATTCACTGATTTGCCTTTTGACTGCCAGGAGCACCTCTATCTTGCCTGGATTTAGTTTCAGTTTATTCACCCTCATCCAGTCCATTAATGATACCAGACACAGATCTAGAGCTGAAACAGCATCCTCAGATTTAGATGGCAAGGAGAGATAGAGCTGGGTGTTATCCACATACTGGTGACACCGAACCCCAAAACTCCAGACAATCTCTCCCAGCAGTTTCATGTTGATGTTAAATAATACAGTGGTGCCTCGCTTAACGAGCGCATTGTTTAACGACAAATCCGCATATTGACGTTGTTTTTGCGATCGCTAATGCGATCGCATTGCGATGTTTTTAATGATAAAACATCGCATTGCGATGATTGGTAAGCATTTTGCTTACCGATTTTTGCAGTGTGATGTTTTTTTAACAGCTGATCGGTGGTTCCAAAATGGCCACCGGGTAAAGAAAATGGCCATCCGCTGTGTTTCTGCCCAGATTCCTCGCTTACCGGGCAGCGAAAATGGCGGCCGCATGGAGGATTTCCGCATAGCGGTGAGTTTTGTGCCCATAAGAACGCATTAAACGCATAGCGACAAATCCACATAGCGACGATTTTTTCAGAACGGATTATCGTCGCTATGTGGGGCACCAGAGACAAAATACAACCTGCAGGCCTGTAGCCAGAAATCCCCAAGCACAACCTTCTGGGTTATCTTCTTAAGGAAGGACTAAAGCCATCATAAAACATAGAGGCAATGGTATGGGACTTAGAGAAGTCCCATACCAGATTGATAGTCCAGAAGGATACCATGGTTGATGATACTGAAAGCTGCTGAGAGATCCAGCAGAACCAACAGGGACACCCTTCCCCTATCCGGTGTTTGATGTAGGTCATTCACCAATGTGACCAAAGCAGACTCTATCCATAACAAGGCCTGAAAACTCTATTAATAAAAATTTATGAATCAATATTTCAAAAAGTATTGAAAACATTCTTACAAGTTAAAAAAGGATCCCTTTAGATACAAATGCTTAAAAAGCAATCCATTCTTGCAACTTGTAAAAAGCTGCAGATACGATTGCCATAAAAAATTCTTACAATTATGAGAAGTTGCACTTTAAAATAATCTGAAAGCAAATCATAGCAGGCAGAAATTAAGTTATAAAAATCTATTTCAGTTATAAGGTTTTAGCTTTAAAAATTAAGAACAAGAACTTAACTCAATTATCAGTCTAAAATCACAGGAGTTTATGGTCTTAAAAGGCACAATCAACTTGCACAGATAATACTTTTTTAAATTGACAAAGTTATTAAAAGTTAAAATACCTGAAAGTAAAATACATTTCTTAGTCTTTTAGCATATTCTGGCATACATGAAAACTCTTTAATGATATTATCACCCAACCAATCCAGCCATGTGCCAGTTTGCATCTATAGAGGAAAATCTTATTTCTTTGCTGCCACTGCAACATGCCTGCTATCCTTTGATGCCTGGTATCTGGTATCTGGTGTGTGTGGCATATTAAGTATATCTTCCTTCCTAAATTTATATCCCGCCTATCTGGTCGGTTAAGACCACTCTCTAAGAAGCAGTGTTTAAATCATAGAATACAATTAGTTCAATATATAACAAAACAATAAAATGATACTGGAGTAATAATCAAAATGATCTTTTATTAAATGGCAAGAAGGTTGCTTGTTACATAAACCATATTCACTGTTGTACATCCTCAAGCAGCATTGTTGCCTCTTTTTCTGCTTTAGTATTAAATTAAACAAACAACCGCCCAGAAAGCTGTGCTCCAAAATCTGGAAATTGTGGGTAAGAGAGGTGAGGAATTTGTGATCCTGGAACATACAGCATTCTCCTCAGCTTGTTCTGATCGAACAAAATTTGCTTGCATGCTTGGTTGTTTTATATATTTATCTCCCATGTTTCCTTTGAATTGGTCAAGGTAATGATCTGATACTAAGTTAGGAATTTAAAACAACCTTTACAGTGTAACAGCAAACAACAGCTAAACCCCACCCCCAAAGAATACAAGATCATAAACTAGAAACCATACTCAATAGGACAGGTACCCTAATGACATTTTTGCCACATTACAAGAAGACTTTAGTGAGAGGTTCAGAAGACTTCACCCAAGCATTTTCTGTGAGGCAAGAATGGCAATTATATATCTGGACTATAAATTCATTAAACCAAAAGACTCTGTTGTGCTAGTAGTAAATAGGTGGGTCAGGACAAACTGTGATTAGTTAAGTAGCTTTTATCCTAAAAGAATAGAAGAACAGTGTGGCCTATGAAAGAAGGAGCAAAGGGTTACACAAGGCAACAAAAAGCTGAGGTGAAAGGCAGAGTGGTCCGAAAGAAGAAAGAAAAGAAAGACAGAAGGTGATGCTGAAACAGGAAGCTAAAATAAGTCAGACCGTCTAGTGTGCTAAGGTGAGGAACACTGAAATCCACATCTCAATCAAAACTTTGACTACCAGCCTCTATTATTACCACAGTTTCAAGTCCTCAACTCTGAATTGTTTTAAAAGAAACAAATTCAGTACATATGGTAATTAGCCACGATGTTATCAAAATGCTGAGGAAAGTTTTTACTTTGTGTAAACCATCTTGGAAAGGATTCTCCTGGAAAGGTGGTATAAAAGTAGTCTAAATAAATAAATAAATAAAAAACATTAACTATATGTAAAATATTAACTATAAGTAAAACTTTTGCTTTTCCAAAGTTAATTATTTACTATTGCTTCCTTCACTTACAAAAACCAACACCTAGATCCTCTCCTTTTGCTGAATTAAAGCTATAAAATAGCCAGGGAGTTGGATTCTCCCTTTTTTTTTTGCCTAGCCAATTTATGTACTGTTGAGTACTAATAGGAAAGTTCTAAATGAAGCTTATTCACCTGGTGTTTCCTGGCCTGAAAGGAAATATGTTAGTTCATCTGTATCTGATTTGGAATCTGGCTCTTCTTGCTTTTGCGCAGGATGTGACTCAACAGGCTGCCCAGTTTCTGATGGAGTTTAATGCTCAAGCAGAAAACCTATCATATGAGAATTCACTTGCTTCATGGAATTATAACACCAACATCACAGAAGAAAATGCTAAAAATATGGTGGGTACATTTGACATGTGTTTGCTTTTATAGCAGGAAGAGAGAGAAATTAGAAAGGGAAAACAAGGGGCTTGCAGGGAGTTGGAATGATGAATGAGCTAAAAAAAAAGTAACCATTGAGAGAGGGTTGAATAATAATACTAGCCTTCCCTTTTGGGTATGGATGATGTGAGCTGTAATCTGATATAGACCTAGATGGTGCCAGGTTGGGGAAGGTTGAAACCGATTGAGAACCAACAAACCTAAAGGGCTTTTTCTGGCTTAAACAAAACTAAATGGAAGTCCATTTCAAGATGAGCCAAAAATAAAAATAGAGATTCCCTGAAATAATATTTATATCCATCAGCAGAACTTTATAACTTTTCCAGAGAACTGCACACACAGATTTCTGCCAGATTACATGATCTGAGTGTTTTTTTTTTTTATTCTCACTTTCTAGTGAATCAGTACAAACTTCATACTACAACCGCAGAAACAGTTGTGGGATATTTCAGGAAATGATTCCCATGGCTAGATCCAGTGAAACAGGAGGGGTTGTCCCGGGGTCCCTAGGAAGGATGATCACAGTAGATGAGTTTCCAAATTTAGAGGGGAGACCGAAACCTATTTCCCTCTACTGCCCCCTCTTAGCCCCCTCTCCAGTGGCTCACTGCCCTTTGTCAGAACCGCAGCATCTGAGAGCAGCAAAGTATCAGAGAAAAGTCTCAAAGAGGGGGGAGAGATCCAAAAAAATTCTCTGCTAACTCACTCATCTTCCTGGCAATACTCCAAGAGGGTTTCGGATGTACTGGAGGCTGCTTTGTAGAATGTCTTCTCCTCCAGCCACCTTCAGCTTTAGACATGTAGCCTAGGTTAGTTATGAATTACTGGTTGATCCCCATGCTCTTGTTTTTAATGGGAATTACTTAGTCAATGACAAAAATGAGATCGAGGAAGAAATACGCCACCCTGATATCCTGAAATATGCTTGTTCACAAGTGACCAGGGCTGAAAATATAGGGTGGAAGAGGGATAGGGTGTGATCAAACAGCAGGAAAGGTAAGTGTCTGATTGTACCAGAAAAAGTTGTCTTGCCAAGGACAATCTCCCTTAAAGCAACTCTTCTGTCAATCGATAAATTGCTCCAACCTGCCCCCCCCAAATTAGTAGCCCTACTGCTAGGCCAAAAAGGTCCACCTTGGACATGATTTGGGGTTGGCTATATGTTGTGTGATTGCCAGGAAATAGCTTCTATGACTGCTTGTCATGGAACAAGCAGTCAAAAATGTGACTAGATGCCAGTGTGATCACGTCCTTACTCATTTTAGGCCAGACTGACCACTGGTATTACTAGATTTGAACACATTCCCCCAGTTCTGGCACATCTTTATGGGCTCCCTGTTAGTTTCCATGTACAATTTAAGGTGCTGGTTATTACCTATAAAGCCCCTTCATGGTTTAGGACCTCAGTACTTGTCAGAATGTCTCTCCTACAAAATAACTACAGTATCTGTCCCACCTCCTCTTCACAGTTCATGATGCTAAGCATAGTGACACTCGACAGAAGTCAAGCAAGTGAGTATATGAAATGATGCCTTCTGTGCAGTGGCCCCCTCTCTTTGGAATAAACTTCTAAAAGAAATTTGACAGGTTCCTCCCCTACAAATTTTTGAGAAAATGGTTGACAACTGAACTTTTAAAAGCAACTTGTATTAATCTTTCTTGTTCTTTATTTGTATCAGAGTGTTGCACAATTTAAAACAATGCACATACTGTATATGAAATATAGGAAAAACTAAAAAAAATGTAAATATTAGAAATTATTTTCATTTGTGATCCTGAAAGTAGCATTGGGTTATTTTACTCATCAAAAGTTTGCAGTGCAATGCTGCTGAAAGTGAAGGATTGGCTGGCTGTACACCGTTGCCCAAGGGATACCCGAGTGTACTTGGAATGCTTTCCACCATTTGACGAGGCTGAGATTTTGAGTTGTTGATGTGTTTATTTTTTAGTTAGTCGGGGTTGCTTGTGATATTTATTTATTTATTTGATTTATACCCCACCTATCTGGTCTACTCGACCACTCTAGGGGCTAGGGGACTAATTCTTTGTTCATATTGTGTGTAGAGTGGTGCCTCACATAACGAGCGCACCGTTTAATGACGAATCCACATAGCAATCTATTTTTTGCAATCGCTAATGCGATCGCATTGCAATGTTTTGAATGGGAAAACATCGCATTGCGATGATCAGTAAGCGTTTCGCTTACCGATCTTCGCATTGCGATGTTTTTAGAACAGCTGATCAGCGGTTCCAAAATGGCCGCCGGGTGCCCAAACTGGGCACCACAAGCATTTTCGCGTGGTTTTCTCGCTTACCGAGGCGGCGAAAATGGCGGCGCTATGGAGGATCTTCGCTGAACGGTGAGTTTTCGCCCATTAGGAACGCATTAAACGAAGTTTAATGTGTTCCTATGGGGTTTTTAGTTCGGTTTAGCGATGTTTCCGGATAGCGACGATTAATCCGGAACAGATTAATGTCGCTATGCGGGGGCACCACTGTATATATATACTGTATTGAACTGAGTATTATTTGACTGAATTTACTGTTGTAAACTGCCCAGAGAGTGTAATGCAAGTATACAAGTTAAGTCAATCAATCCTGAGTGATTCTCCATTATATGCACATGCATTATAAGTTGACTAAGGAAGTCCAGGACCAGTCTAATCCTACCAAAAAAAGATTTCTGCCACTGTCCAGTTGCTGCCACTGCAATTCACCGGATGTATTTTTCAAACATCATCTGATCTATTTTTTATTATATTAATGTTTTTAGTTGCATTTTAATTTTAAAAAATTAAAGAACAAAAAATGAATGAAAAAATCTGGAAGTGACCAAATTGAATTCTCAACAGTGGAAAAGCCCACCTACCCATCACTCCATGATTCTCTGCTTTGGGGCACACACATTAGGAGGGAGGTCCAAAGGCAACACAGTCCTACTTTATTTCCTCCCCCTGGCTTACAGCATTAGCAACATACATTTTTAATTTTGACCCTCTTTCTTGTTAATTATGTTTCTGCTCTAGTGGTTGGTGCACTTGCTAGATGATGATAAGGATGATTTATTGGTCATGGAAATTGTTTCCAGAGCACAACTGGATCATAAGAGATGTACAATGGTTATGAGTATTTCCATTAGACATAAATTTATTTCAACAAAAGTATATTAGGGTAGTAGTGCATATGTGCTGCATCACTTTTAAAAAACAGAAGAGAAATGGAAAACTTCCTGTTTCCATTAGACATAAACTGATTTTGACAAAAGTATATTAGGGTAGTGCATATGTGCTGCATCACTTTAAAAAAACAGAAGAGAAATGGAAAACTTCCTCCTGATAGCAGGAGACAGGATGTGTCAATGAGAGAGATCTGTGTTTGCTTTTTTCTTTTCCCTTAGGTTTTCATTCCTCTTTCATTTTTAAAGTGATGTATCACATATGGGCTGCCCTACTTTGACTCCTCCACAGAACCCAGGGAGTGATTAACTTACCAATATCCTGAAGTAGCTATCTCATTAAGACACTTCACAATATCATAAATTCCCTCCAGAAGGAACCTTGATAGCCAGAAGCCTCACTTTTGGTTCTTTTAAGCAATTGCATATGCTGGAAACGAACCAAACCAGGCAATCCTACCTGCACCAAAAAAATTAGAAGTCCCTGTCAGGGCCCAGAAAGGTGTAGACTGGACCACTCAGGGGTTGGGTTGGCTGGTTCTCAAAGACATGGTCTTATTACTATATTCAAAGTGAACCACCTTATCCCTGCAGTGGACCAACAGCAAGCTACTGTATATGGTTGTTGTGTTTTTTTCGGGCTCTTTGGCCGTGTTCTGAAGGCTGTTCTTCCTGACGTTTCGCCAGTCTCTGTGCCCGGCATCTTCAGAGGACTGGAGTAGGAACTCTGTCCATGCTCTGTTGTTGTTTGTTGGATAGTTGAGTATTTATAGCTGTGGGAACAGCTATTGTCCTTTTCAGGAGATAGGGTGATGATGGTGATTAGAGTGGTTTTGTTGTGGATGTATTGTTGTGATAAGGGGGAGAGATTATCTGTCACTGTGATTAATGGGTGTCTTTAGCTGGTCTTTTTTGTGCAATGATCCCTGGTACTTGTGGCTGGGTAGAGTTTGTTGACCTTTTGCAGGCTGTATGCCTATCTAGTCACCCTCTGAGTGTCATCTGCAAACATGGCTGACCCCACTGCTGCTCTCTCTGAACTAATGAAATAAACCAGCCTCATGTTGGTGAATTGCATAGCACATTGCATATGAAATCTCTGCTGCACCACACCGATAGTGAATCCAGTGCAAGATTTTTGTATGTGTTACACTTCCTTGCAAAGCAATAATAGATAATGTGAATTCATCTTTTTTCAGAATAAAGCAGGTGCTGCGTGGTCAGAGTTCTACGATGCTGCTGTGAAAACAGCCAGTGAATTCGACATAAACAGCATTTCTAATGAGACAATCAAACTCCAGCTTCTATTTCTGCAGAACAGAGGTTCATCGGTATTGCCCATCGAAAAACGCAACCAAGTATGTCACCAAATACTGTAACTGTAGGCTATTTGTTGATGTAAATCTGTTTTGTAAGAGGTAACAAAATAATTCCTGTTCTTCATTTTGGTCTTAGTATTATATCCTAAATGCTGACATTTTTACTTTGCTGTAAATTTAGAAGTAGTCAGTGCATTGTATGACCTCCTAACGTGGCATGCACCATGTTGAAAACCATAAACCACCACCCATTCTGCAACAGGATAAACTTTTCATTTGGCAAAATGACTACTTAAGTCCACTGTTTCCTGTTTCAGACCTATGACTTCCGTATTTCAGGCAACTGTTTCCTTTAATTTTAAGCAGTTAAAGGTTGTGTTTTAAAGTATGTCCCATTAAATTCAATGGAACTTCATGCTGGCCAGAAAATTCTAGGACTTAGGTGATGTTTCCGGGTTGTGACATCTGTACATACGGCCATAGTCTTAAGCCACTGTGGCTGAAATTCTGTTGTTTAGAGCTGTAGGTCAATACAGACTAGACCCACTGAATTAGTGTGGAATTTCTGTAAATCCCATTGATTCAAATGGGTCTATTTTGGTTGCAGCTTACTATGCTAGGCAGCAGAATTTCAGCCTATTTGCTCCAGAGCTTCAGCAGGATGATTCTGATAGTCTTGTGGGTTGCACGATCTTTACATGGCATTGCATCTCTGCTTCATTTCTGGACTGCGCTGCCTATTCTGCTGAATTTCTTCTACAAGTCCTCCCATGATGGCATCACTGACTTGTTCAGGTGGAAGGCTTGTTTAGCTTATGAGTTTTGTTGCTAAGGAAAAAAATGCAGAGGATGAGGACCAGAGCAGACATCTGGGCAGTATGCTGTTGTGAAAAACCAGAGCGGCAATGGCAGTCACATAAGTAGCTTTCCCTGTTTCCCAACTTGGCTGTTGCAGAATCTAGGGGTGTGCAGACATGCATCGGGCAGCCTAGACAACTCAGATTGCACAATGCTGATTGCCCATTTACCTTCCTGTTGCAACAGGATCTTGGCTTTACATGTTTAATGCACAGGCAGAAATGATTCAACATCTAATATTTGGAATAAAATGGCCCATGTCCTCTTCAGTATTGACACACATAGAACCATGAAGTCATAGACTTGTAGAGCTAAAGGTGACCCCAAGGGTCATATAGTCCCATGCCCTGTACTGTAGAAGCAAGACAACCACAGCTAAAGCACCCATGTGGAGCTGTAACCACCAGTGATCTGACCACCTGCTGGCTGCATGTGACTAGGCCCATGAACGGCACCTGGACAGATCCCCACAGTGGATTCTGCAGTCAGAGTTCCGTGAGTGCAATGATTGAACAGGATAGTGCTTCCTACCCTTTTGCCACACTGGCCATTTTTCTAGCATTCCAGGACACTTTTCATGTGACGTGAAAAATGCATTTTGAGCTTCTTGCACATGAATTTTATGTGTCTCATTTAAATGCAGTTCATGAGGGAGACTGAAAAAGAAATCTAGTGAGCACCTAGCAAATGTAGAATTCACAGACATGTTAGGAGCCAATGTAAAACAAAGCCAATGTAAAGTTCACTGTGGAGATATTCCAAGTCCATGCCCCCCCCATGTCTTTATTTCATTTCCAGCTCAACTAAGTGTATGCTTACTTGGAAGTAATCTCCATTATGAATTTAACGCACTGGGCTGCGATAGGTTGCACTCTCTCGTGGAAAATGACTATAGTAAAGCCTGGGGTTGGTTTCACTGGAGAACATTAAGTTAAATTATATATTTGCCTCCACCCTTTGCTCCATGGAGTAGCTAATACTCAGTGGTGAATAGGGCTGTGGGCAGATTAAATATATATTTAACCAATTAAAGGTAAAGGTTCCCCTTGACATTTTTAGTCCAGTCGTGTCCAACTCTAGGGCGTGATGCTCATCCTGTTTTTCAAGCCGTACAGCCAGCACTTGTCCGAAGACAGTTTCTGTGGTCACGTGGCCAGCGTGACTATGAAACGCCATTTTACTTATTTATCTACTCACATTGGTACTTATTTATCTACTCACATTTACATGCTTTTGAACTGCTAGGTTGGCGAGGAGCTGGGACAAAGTGACGGGAGCTCACTCCATCACGTGGATTTGATATTACGACTGCTGGTCTTCTGACCCTGTAGCACACAAAGGCTTCTGCGATTTAGCCCGCAGCAACAACACGTCCTTGTATTTAAACAATTAGGGCAGCACTTATATGCTGCATCATTGACAGAAAATTTTTAAAAACTAAAATCTTCCTCCCAGAAGTGGGAGGAGACAGGAGGAGCAAAGAGGGAGATTCCCCCTCCCCTTTTTTCTTTGCTTTGTTAAAAGAGCTGGAACAAATAGAGTTGCTTGAGGTGCATATGCCATTTGGCTGCAAGGTTCACACCAAATGACATACTGAACCTCTACCCAATCTTAAGCAACCCTATTTAACCTACACCCGCCCACTCCAAATGATCCAGCATACACAAGTCCTTAATTCAGATGCTTTTCTAAGACATTAAGTTCAGTAAGCCATCTGCCCTTGTAGTGCTTAATCTTCAGTTGTATTTCTTTCACAAACATGGCAAGCGTACAGATTTTAATGTGATAAAAGGCAGAGACAGAACTTTGTGGGAGGAGTTCTCAGAAGGGAGAGAGATGAGTTCTCAGCCAGCGTGTTCACAGCCTGAGAATTGCATTGCCCTCAGATTATTTCTGGGCCTAAAGAGCATTTATGTGGCTTAAATTATCAAGGAAAATCAGTAAAATTGCATGTTTGCCTGCCTCTAGATAAGAAACTGAATTATTATTATGATGATGATGATGATGATGATGATGATGATGATGATGATGATGATGATGATGATGATGATTTCAAAAAACATCCTCCAGTATTTGTATCAAGTTGCACAAAGCTGACTATTAAAGTCAGTTGGAGTCACTTTAAGTATTTTATAAAAAGCATTATATGTAACGCCACATGTGACCACAACTTACAGTCAAAACAAAAGCGTATGGCTGTAGGGAGAAAACAACACTAACGATACATGGAAGCTGATTTTCCCCAAATGGCCAAGAGCTGATAACTCATTATGTGGACCCTTTCTGTTGATAATGTGCTGGAATAAAATGAGTTAGTTCTGAGGGAAACATTAATGCAGTCCCCCCCACCCCCCAAATAAACAAAGAGCTGAAGTTATAGCATATTGTAAGCCTGACAATTTTTAAAAATAAAATTTATTTATTTCATTTTTATGTCATCCTTCTGTCCAAAGATGCTTAGAATGGCACACAGCACAATGCCATTACATATATAATAAACACGATAATGAAATAAAAAGTGAAATAATGAAATAATATGTTTCACATAAATGAAATAAATAAAATGCAGCAACCACCTAAAGCTCACCAGACTGTAACATATTATTTGTATCACCACATAATAAATTACTGCATAAGTGGTGGAATAGGAATCTATTAACAAGCCAAGGTCCATTGAAGCAATTCTGCCTTACATCCTCTCCTGAATCAGTCCAGGGATATCATACTTTTTGGGGACTCAGGAAGAGAATTCTAAAGCATAGGGGCAGCAACCCCCGCACAAATCTTTCTCTAATATATTAAAGCCAAACAACTTTAATAGTTGGCAGTTCCAGACAACCTCAATGGATATAGATATGTGGGTCCTCTGTCATACAGGACTTGAATAGTAACAATCAACACTTCAAATTGAACTCAAAAAACTCCTGGAAGTCAATGTAGTTGGCAAAAAAGGGCATCAGACGGTCATGATAGTATGCACCCATTTGTAGCCTAGCTGCCACATGCACCCCGTTCTAGCTTCCGAGTTGTCTTCAGAGGTAGCCCCACAAAGAGTAAATAACAGTAATTCTGTCCATTGAAATTCAGGCTGTCCTACATCACAAGAAGACAGGATTCTCTGGAAAAGACTACAATGCTAGGAAAGCAGCAGAAAAAGAGCAAGACCAAATATGAGACTGATTGACTCCCTGAATGAAGGTTTGAGTTTGCAAGAGCTAACTAGAGACTGAATCCCTGAAGGTTTGAGTTTGCAAGAGCTAACTAGGGCTGTTGAGGACAGGACATTTTGGGGATCACTCATTCGTAGAATCACCATAAGTCAGAGGCAACTTGATGGCACATAACAACAACAAAGTGCCTACTCAGATGTTCTACGTGTGACTCATCTTCTTAAAATGTGGCTACTAAGTGTAGAGCAGAGGAAGGTGGTATGAATGTGCCAGTTCTCTTCCCACTTCATTGGTTCAAGGGGGATTTTATGAAGGGGAGACCCTCTTCTATCACTGAAGGCACCTCCAAGATTTGAAACGCTGAACAATCAATAGAAGAGGAGATGCTGTTTCCCTTCCAAAAATTGCCTTAAACATGTAGAGGGTGATGGTTGCAAGTGACTAGAAGAGGCACAAGACTTTCACTCTCCATACAGTTCCTATAGCCATACTCTGAATGCCTAGATAGGCTTGATGTGGTGACAATTTTTAATGGATAGGATGACTTTTTTTTAAAAAAAAAGAATAGAAATAGCAGGGCAATGCATGGATCTGCTGGGGCATAGAAGAACACATGAGTGGCTTGTGACATATGTTGAGGGACATCTTTAAGAATTTTTGGGTGAGGTCCGCCCCCCCCGCCCCTGCTTGGGCCATCATATCAGAATGATCCTGCTTGAAAGTTCAGAAGTGAAATGATTCCCCTTTCATAGCTTTATGGCTGTGTGTGTGTGTGTGCACAGTAACATCTTCCATTTGTAATCCTTCTAGGTTTTTCCCCTACTTCCCCCTCCATTTTCTTACCAACTACAGAAGTATCTGTTAAACAGGAGAAGACAGCATAGTTACACAGTGGCTTTCACCTGGTATCTTTAGGAGGCCTCCCTCTAGAGGCACAGCAAAAGTGCTTAATATTGCTATGGCCTCATTTTTCAGTTTTGACCCTAAGCAGTGCTCTCATGTGGCACTTCTATAATGCTATGGCTGAAATCCTGTTCCATAAGTTATGCCACGTAAGACTGATGATGCCATCAGCTATGGCCATTTTTCAGAAATTTAAAAAAAATTGTGACACTCCCACCCTGTAAGCCCTGAGGTTCCCGTGGAATTCCTTTCATCATGGGGCATCCATGGGGGTAGGTGGGTGGGGGTTGATTTCCAAACATTTATTGTTGCCAGTTTATCCTGCATGGACAGGAGGAGGTCAGCCTATATTCCTCATAATGTTCCTACAAAGATTGTTCCCACAGGCAAAAGTCTAGTGCTAAATATTCTTATCTAAGTAAGCCCTTATCTAAGGAGACTTGCTTCCAAGTAGACAAGTATTGGATTGTATTATGTTTGTTCAGAGGTTCTGTATCATTTAGATAAATTAAGTTACTCCCTCTTGGACAATGCCCTCAGGACTACAGCCTTGGCCTTGGGGAAAGGAGGAAGAGGAAAATTAAATGTTCTACTGATCGTACAGGGGCAAAATTCAGCCAGGAACGAAAGGCGGAATTGCATGCTGGAATTCCCCCTTTCTGCCCTGGAATCAGAGCCTGAATCCTGGCAGTCGGGGTGGAGTGGAGGGGGGGAACTCCCGAGAATATGGGTTTCATGACAGTTGAGACCAGGAGATGAATCTCCTCAAAGCAGAGGTGGAAAACTTATGGCTGTAAAGATATTGTTGGACTCTAAATCCCATCAGCCGCAGCCAGCATGGCAAATGATAAGGGCAAGTTCTTGGAAATATTTCTGTTGCCTGTAATGATAATGATGATGTACGGTCAAGTTGATCCTGACTTACAGTGATTCGTGTCCAAATTTCTCAGATGTAAAGTACTTAGATGTTGTTTGACATTCCCTTCTTCTGGAGCTGCTCTGGGACTGTGCAGTTTGCCCAAGGCTATCCAGGCTGGCTGTACTCCTGGGAAGCACAGTGGGGAATCAAACCTCTGGTCCCTGCCTTTGCAGCCAGGTATTCCAGCTCACTGGGGGATCAAGCCAGTAACTGCAGCTAGTTAGTTTGGGGAGTAAGATGGCATCAACAGCGTTCCTTTTCGGAAGTAACAGAAGAACCAAAATATAGTTATTTTTGCACTGCAATGAATAATGGTTACATAATTGGTTATTTTAGGGAACCTTGTGGGTGGGTGGGGGATACTGCTGCATAGCTTAATTAGACTGTGTGGATAGAAGATCATGTGACATGTCTGCTTTAAATCAAGGGCCCCACACAGCCTAGGTCCTTGGGTGCTTCTAAGCTGTAGAGTAGAGTAATGGAGATTAGTAAAACAATGCAATAGAATTTGAAAAAAAAATCCACTCAAAATTCCTCTAACATATCCTCTAACTCTAACATATTTTTAAAAGTCATTTTAAAAGTAATTAGAAACTGTTATTCATTACATCCTCCCAAAAGATGATCTCATTCCCACTTATTACTTGTGAAATGTAATTACTGTATATTATACTCTTGTTACTCAAAAAGTAACTTGTTATAGGTAGCTTGCGATGAATTACACTGAAGTTTTACGGAGTGCTGTTGTCCCCTCTCAGTCGTATTCTTCTCATTTAATTTGCAGCTGAACACCATTTTAAATCAAATGAGCACCATGTATAGTACAGGGACTGTCTGCACGGTGGCTGACCCTTTTACTTGTTTGCCCCTGGAACCAGGTACAGTATAAACAAAAAAGTGTCTACTGCAGTGTTTGACATACCCATTACAGATACCCCAGCAGCAATGAAAAAAGATTTCAAAAAGCATTCTGTTTCAATGATTAGACATCACCTCAATAAATGCATCTGCATTACAACAGGAAAGCCACAAAGATGCTCCTGGACTCTAACTCCTCAGTCCCAACCTCTCGCCCGGCCAGCTTGCGCTGATAGGAGTTGGAGCTGGATAACATCAAAGGATCCTAGCTCTAGAGTCTCCTTTAGGCATTCAGTTTCTTTATATGTATACGTAGGATCTGTTGGCTATACCACTGGTTCTTAACCTTGGGTTGCTCAGGAGTTTTGGACTGCAACTCCCAGAAGCCGATAACATCAAAGGATCCTAGCTCTAGAGTCTCCTAGGCATTCAGTTTCTTTAGATGTATCCCTAGGATTTGTTGGCTATACCATGAAACCTTTAATTGTACAGGCATGTTCACAAGGAGCCTTGATTATCACTTCATGAACTTTCACAGAATAACATAATTAACCTGTATAACAAATTAACAGGGCTTTTCGGGTATTCTAATGTATTCGCTTTATTGTGATGTATATGCAGAAGAGCTAAGTAGCTTTCCTATAATGTAGGCAGCACAGTTGCTTTTCTATGGTAGCTTTGATTTTGGTCAGCCAAGGATAATTATGGAAAAGGATATTGTCGGAGGGCTTACATGACATGCCACTGCATATATTTTGGGGGGTTGGGGAGAGGAAGAATAATCAGAAATGGCATACTAAATGAGGGATTGCATGGCTGAGATTCTGTAGGCAAATGCCAACGTTTAATGTGCATGATCCTTGGTTTTATGGTGACAGGCTTGGATGAGATAATGGCAAACAGCACTGATTATTTCGAGAGATTATGGGCTTGGCAAGGGTGGAGAGCAGATGTTGGCAAGAGAATGAGGCCATTATATGAAGGTTATGTTGAACTGAACAATGAGGCTGCAAGAGCAAATGGTAAGTAACAAGAGAAATGTTCTTTACATTGCTGGTTTGTTTAACCTTCCACAACATCTGTGGAAGGACCTTTCTTTATTTTTACTGTCACATGCATTGCATAAATGACTAGCTATACAAAGCAGAGTGTGGAGAATATATATTTTGGGACTACAACTCCCAGGATACCCTAAAGCCAGCATGACCAATGGCTATGCCCATTAGGGGATGTTGGCAACTGTAGCCCCCCCCCCCAGTAATTTCTAAATGCTGTGATATAAAGTACTGCTAAACTAGAAAGTTCCATCCATTTAAAGTACCTACTCTAAAGTCATCAGTGTCTAGACAAAATGTCAAATTTATGCTAGGTAACAATCTATTATTAATAATAACAGTATGCCATCAAGTCAATTGTAACTGATAGCAACCCTTGGCAGGGATTTCTAGGTAGAGAACTGAGAGGTGGCTTGCCATCAACAATCTATTAGACACCAAGAGACAGCAAAGTGTTGGAATTTTAAGCATGTCCAGGTCAACCAGTAAGAGATTCCATGGTCTTTCTTATATGTCACTATGGTGAAAATAGAACTAGAGAAGAAGAAATGGTAATGAAACACATTTATGTGTCCAGGGTTGCCAAATACCTTTTGGTTCTTTGTTTTCATAAACTACTGAATCTTTATATATGATAACACATTCCCTAAACTATTAACTACTTGCTTTTCTATATTTGTTATTATGCTAGCACAAGGCCCATTGGGCTAGCGGCTGTTCATTTATAGAATCTGTGCAAGGGCAGCGTCCAGTAACATTTCTGTAGCACAAGAGCTGGTGCAACATACTGCAGATGGCATGGTTACAATACTGTTGGTGCTAATATATTCATAATGATATAGTCCACTATGTACGCTGGCAAGGGGCTTTTGTCCCATTGGCATGAGGTTAGGTTTAGACCAGAGTTTTGAAAATGTTGCCTCTTTTAAGCTTATATAACAGCCTATGCCTTTTTACAGGGCAAACAATTTTATTGTGCAACGATTTTCACCATAGCTATGATTCCGATACACAAACATCAATTTGAGAACTCATCTGCACCCTGGAAAGGCAGGGTCTCATCCCCATTTCGGACCATAATATTTAAAAGAGGGGTTGACAAGTCTTCTGTAATGACCATCTTTGTCAGACTTTGTGCCCAGCAAATGTACTAGACTACAGTTATCGCAGTCATGGTCATAGTCTAGCGCATCTGAAATATATCAGACAGGGACAGGCTGGACTATGAGTATGTTGCATATACTGTATATTTTCTGCTGTACATCAGCTTGGATTTTTTGAAACTAAGCAGTTTATAAATCAACACCAATAAATACACAAATAAATTCAGTTTACATGGGTTTAAAGCTACATTGCCTGTAAACCCATGATATGGGCCTTGCTGTACAATAGCTGAAACCCAGTAGTAAGTCACAACTAGAACAGCCTTGCTCAATCAATGGAATTTACAAAGGAGTTGACTCATTAAATCACTGGTGATTCAATGGGTCTGCTCTGGTTGTGACTTACTACTGAATTTTATTCATTTACTTAGGGCTGATCTACATGTGGCAATTGGAGCAGGCTAGATCAAGCTAAATAGTCACTGGGGTCATGCAGCCCTGTTTAACCTATAGCTACTTATTATTGATTTGCCAATATTGTCATATGTCTTAAGAACAGAGCCACTTCACAGTAATCGCAAATTAAACACTTCCTCTGCTCTGTGGAGGGGCTGAGGAAGTGAATTTTTTTTTAAAAAAAATGTGCATTAGAGCAGCGAATATGCTCTGTGTCACTTTGAAAATAGCATTACGTATAACTCAGTGGTTTAGGTATCTGTCTGCAGATCTAGAGGTTGGGAGTTTGATTCCCCATGGTGCCTCCTACGAATATTTTTTTTAAAAAAATGTGCATTAGAGCAGTGAATATGCTCTGTGTCGCTTTGAAAATAGCATTACGTATAACTCAGTGGTTTAGGTATCTGTCTGCAGATCTAGAGGTTGGGAGTTTGATTCCCCATGGTGCCTCCTACGAGACGATCCAGCCTGTGTGGCCTGGGGCAAGACACACAATCTCAGGATGTCCCCAGAAGAAGGGCGAGTCGATCCAGCCTGTTTGGCCTGGGGCAAGACACACAGTCTCATGATGTCCCCAGAAGAAGGGAATATTAAACTACTTCTGAATATTCTCTACCTGGAAAATCCTGGAAAGGATTGCCAGAAGTCAGAATTGACTTCACGGCTAATAATTATAATTATTAAGTATGCATATTATAAATTACCACGGCTAATAATTCTAATTATTAAGTATGCATATTATAAATTACCCAGTGTGGTACAGTGGATTGACTGAGAGATTAAGACTCTGGAGGCCTGGGTTTGAATCCCTACTCAGCCATGGTGACTCGCTGAGAGTGAAGAACACATAAAACCACTCCTTTAAATATTTCAATTACCTTGAAAACACTGTTAGGGTCACTGAAAGTCAGTTTTGACTTGACGGTACATAACAACAAATTACAGGTTAGATATGCATATTAAGTATATCTAATTTGCATACCTAACTTGTAATACACATACCTAATGCTCCTTTTAAAATGATGGCAGTGCCTATGTGGTTTTTTCCCCACTTCCTTGGCCTCTTCTTGGAACTGGAGAAGTGTTTAACTTGCCAATATTATGATGTGTCTCTCTTCACAATACTGGCAAATTAATAGAGGAAGACTGCTCCTTTTAAAATGATGCAGTGCCTATTTGTTGATCTATGACACACTTTTAAAAATGTGTGTTTTTTTTCACTTCCTTGGCCTCTTCCTGGAACTGAAGAAGTTTTTAACTTGCCAATATTATGTGTTTCTCTTCACAATACTGGCAAATTAATAGAGGAAAAGTCGCTTTGGTTCATATCAAGCAATGACACACTCTGGAAATGGACCAAAACAGAGTGATCGTACCTGTACCAAAAAAATAAAAATTGAAGCCCTTGACAAGGGCCAGCCAGGTGCAAGTGGGACTGCTCTGAGGCCAGGTTGGTTCACTGCAACAAAGATATTGTCTGATCACGTTCGTTAGGAACGAACCAGCCCATCCCTGCAGCAGATCAAACGCTGGTTCACTGCAACAAAGACATTGTCTGATCACTTTCGTTAGGAACGAATCAGCCCATCCCTGCAGCAGATCAAACACTGGACTATGTATTCAGCCTCTTACTCCCTCCCTTTCTTTTTCAGACTATTCTGACTATGGAGATTACTGGAGAGGAAATTATGAAGTAGATTTTCCAGAAGAATATCAGTACTGGCGCCCACAGCTGATTATTGATGTGGAAAACACATTTCAGCAAGTAACATTCAGATTCAGAAAGTGTGGTGTTTTGTTTTGGCTTTAGCATATGGTGGTCTGGTTCAAGTTAAAAAACTTGAAAAAGTTACTTTTTTGGAACTACCCCCCCCCCCCGAACAATGCTGTGTGAAAGATTTTGGCCATTATGGTCCAAAAATAACTTTTTCATCCAGAGTAGACTATCTGTCTAGATGGGCATGTATAAATCTAATAAAACAAATAAATAAATAAATAATAAAATAGTCTGTACCGTATGGAGAAGCCATGTAAATTTTTGACTCAGATATAAATGTACCTCTTGCTCTGAACTGCGCCCACCATGAGGAGAGGAGTTTTAAAGCTTTCCCCCCATCTTGTTCCCTGCATACTTGCCATCCACCTAGGTGTGTGGCTGAAAAAAGGGGAGAAAACCTTAATTAACATCACAATATATTTAAGGAGTGGTCTTACCAATTCCACATCTCCCAGTGGGCTTCTGTGGCAGAGGTGGGCAATTGAACCCAGGGCTCCTGAGACCCAGTCTATTTCTCTATCCATTACACTACATTGGGTACCCTACCAGCTTTTGTGGGTCAGAGCACTCAATCCATAGTTCCAGTCCATTTATTTACGCGCATTAAAAAAAATTTCATTGCATGTAATGCATTTAATACAATGTATTCGCGAAGGCTTTCACGGCCGGGATCAGTTTGCTGTCCTCTGAAGATGCCGGCCACAGAGACTGGCGAAACGTTAGGAAGAACCACTTTCAGAACACGGCCAAGAAGCCCGAAAAACCCACAACAACCATTTAATACAATGTCTGATTTAACTTTTAGTGGCATTGCTTTGCAGCTTGGGGCTGAAGCCATGCCAATGTTTTGTTTTGTTTTCAACTGGTAACTTTTGCCCTTGATATGGGCACAATAACAACTTTTAAGAGGTGACACCAGCGTCCTATCCTTGTCATTTCATGGTGAGTTGGTCAACCATATTTCAGAATGACCTATTTTTCCTGGGTTGTAAGACAAGAAAAGATGGAACACAAATGTGATACACTTTCAAGACTGTCATGGAAAGATGAATGAAGTCCAGTCCAATATGACAAACTGAGCAGATTTTTTCTGATTCTTATTGTTTTTTCCAGATAAAACCTTTATATCAGCAACTGCACGCCTATGTAAGGCATAACCTACAGAAAGTTTGTGGTGGAAAGATGAATAAAGTCCAGTCCAATATGACAAACTGAGCATAATTTTTCTGGTTCTTGTTTTTTCCAGATAAAACCTTTATATCAGCAACTGCACGCCTATGTAAGGCATAACCTACAGAAAGTCTATGGCTCAGAGCTCATTAACTCTGAAGGAGGTCTTCCAGCTCATTTACTTGGTATGAAAATACAGTGTTATTAGCCATACCTATTATACAGTATGTCTTAGTGACAGGAAGACACTGGTCCGGGAGACTGTCTGTAACAAGCTGTATTATGATTTTCTCTTCACTTCCTCAAGTATTGAGAGAATTGCATGAGCATTACCAGGTAGAATTAGCTTCAGGTGGAGGAGAGGTCATGAGACAGTTAAATGTTTTTGTGTGGTCATTATTTGCAAATATAGAAGTCAGTGAATGGACAACCTATGGCCTGCCAGAAGTTTTGGGCTACCCTTCACGATCCCCAATTGATCCTTGGCTTTACTGTCAGAAGCTGATAGGAGCTGTAGAACCTTTGGAAGGCTGCACAAGTTCCCTTCTCCCTGAAGGGGCATATAAGACCATAGAAGTACCATTTATATGCTGTAAACTGCCCAGAGTGGCCCCTTCTCCATGAAGAGGCATATGACCATATAAGGACCATTCATGTGTTGTAAACTGCCCAGAGTGGCCTTGGCCAAATAGGTGGTATAAAAATTAAAGACGCGCGCGCGCGCACACACACACACAATGAAGAGGCATATGACCATATAAGGACCATTCATGTGTTGTAAACTGCCCAGAGTGGCCTTGGCCAAATAGGTGGTATAAAAATTAAAGACGCGCGCGCGCGCACACACACACACACACACACACACACACTCATGACAGGCTTGGAAATTCCAACCTCACATCTGGTCTCCAAAAAGAGGCCACTGCACTATAGTGTGCTTACAGATCTATCCCTGCACTTCTATTTTGTTTCTATACATCTTTTTCTTGATACACTTGGCTCTTCCCCTCAGCAGAGAATGAGGTAACTTTGGAGAGTGGGTTTTTTTTTTTTTAGTCACCTTCCAATTTAGGATAGCTTTTTCCACTTAAAATATCCCAAAGGGATTAACATCTGTTTCCTCACCATTAACCTCTCTTGAGGATGTATTCAAACAGTATACATTCTCTTTTAGGCCATTCGTCAGTATTCTTCCTGACAAAATAAATGATAAATGAGTTGTCCGCCTTTGCAGTTCCAATCTGTATCAGACTCCCCTCACATATAGCTTCCATAGGGAAAAATCCACACCCCCAATTTAATGTAGGTGCTATCACGCAGGGAAATATCTGGCATTTTGGACTGCTTGTAGCACAGCTGGGTGTGAGTTATTTCCCAGCAATCACATGATGTACAGGCAAAACCAATCCAGCTTGACCTCTACTCATACCTAAGCTAGACCTTTTTGGTCCAGCAGCAGAGCTACTCTATGTGGAGGCCGGACCAGAGAGACCATTTCCTGCACATCTGGAAAGGTGGCTTTAAGGGAGATTGATTCCAGCAAAGCCATCCTTCCTGGTGTGATCAGATGCGATCATATCCTCAGCGTGTAAATACAGCAAAAGAAAAGGAATCTGCAGTAGGCTTTTTGAGATGAAAGGAAAAAAATCTAATCATCTTCTAAACAGTACTGTTGTTCATTTTGAACATTGTCATTAATTCTGCATTTTCTATTGAAGGTGACATGTGGGGTCGATTTTGGACAAATTTATATCCTTTAATGATTCCCTACCCAGATAAACCAAATATTGATGTCTCTTCTGCAATGGAGGAAAAGGTAGGATATGCACTTGGATACCAAGTATTAACATTATGCACTAAAGCTATCTGTTGTGATATTAATTTCCCTCTTGCTGTTCAACCCTTGAAGGATAATTCTTGATCTCATTATTGTTTCATTAGTGTTTAATTGTCTTTTCTATGTAAGGCATAGTAAGAGGCTATAACAATCTGAGAATACTGTTGCTTATGTAGCCAAAACGTTACCATCTGTGCAAAAGAATGAGTCAGTTATCTTGGGGAAACCACAAGATTTGAGAAAGTACAAGAAAGAGAAAACATAAGGGAATAGACCCCCCCCCCTTCCAAGCTACAAAAAGACACATGGAGACTGAGGGTGTTCAGTGGCCCCAGAACGCAAGCTGAGGGCTGAGGAAAGGAGTAGAACATTTGGTAATGGAGTGAAACAGAAGGAATGGCCTGAAGTATCTTGAAGATGGGCACACCTCACTGCAACATTTTGTTGCAAGTCCTATTTATTTATTTGCTTCTCTCATTTCAAGATGGCTAAACAACCACATTGCTCGGGATGGTATATAAGTAATTTGCATTATTTTTCTCTCAGGGTATGTGAGGCAATGAATGGCTAAGCAAAATATTATATAGTTGGACTGGAGCCTGCATTCTCGAAGGCTTTCACAGCCGGGATCCGATGGTTGTTGTAGGTTTTTCGGGCTGTTTGGCCATAGAAGTTTTTTCTTCCTAACGTTTCGCTGGCCACAGGGACTGGTGAAACGTTAGGGAGTTTTTTCTTCCTAACGTTTCGCCGGCCACAGGGACTGGTGAAACGTTAGGAAGAAAAACCTCCAGAATACAGCCAAACAGCCCGAAAAACCTACAACAACCATGGACTGGAGTCTCCTTACTGAAGTATTTTTGCCATTCCAACTTTCTCCTTTCTCTCCTCTTATTACTTACTAATCCATGAGTTCTGCCCAAGAGTTCTGTGGAAAGTTGTACATATTTGGCCTCTTTATGTTTTGCAAACAAAGGCAGAATTTATTGCCTGTTTTCCAGGCCAGTCATAGACATTAACTAAAGCTATTGACCAGAGTCCTATCGGTTTTTGGAAGCCCAATGGTATGGGTGTTACCTCCTTGATTTCTTTCACATGACCAGTCACACAAAACGGTGTGCAACTGGTCGTGGGGACAGTTCCATGAAGGAGTACCTGGAGGAGGAGAAAAAAACTTGTCATAATTGATGTTTCTAACCAAATTCCACTCAACATTTGAAATCAACTGAGATACTCCTCCATGTAAACGTTGCTATGTCACCAGATTAGCTGATCCAGATAACTGCCTCAAGCTTAAAGAAACTCAAGCCAATTTGATTTTCAAAATGTAATTTGAAAACTAGCAAAAGATAGCTCTGTGTTCACAGTTCAGTTCTTTTTATAAACTGCCAGTTAATATTCCACACCTATCTTTTTCAGAACTGGAATGTAACAGCCATATTCAAAGCTGCTGAGAATTTTTTTGTCTCAGTTGGACTCTATGAGATGACTGAGGGCTTCTGGAACAATTCTATGCTGGTGGAACCAAATGATGGCAGAAAAGTTGTTTGTCACCCGACAGCTTGGGATATGGGCAAAAATGACTATAGGTACTGAAATCATTAAAAATCCACACACACACACACATCTCCCACACATACTGCAGTCTGCAGGTAAATGGAAACAGTTATAGATTAAAATCTTCTCTCCACTTCAGAGTGATTATTGATTATGTGAAAATGTTAATTCAGTGTATATATATTCAACAATTAACAGACAGATTGAGGAGAAAAGTTTGAGAGGCCTAGTTTCAAATCTGTGTATGTTTGGCTTAAAAGTTATTAGGCGATGACGGTACTGTGCACCCTATTTGAGAACATTGTTAGGACTATCTGTGGGATAAATATATCTTATAATTGACTGAGTTCACTGAGATGAACTGAAAAATACAGTATCTCTCAAGCGAGATTTCACTAGAAAAGGCTGTGCCTAAAATCAAGTAGAGACTACTAGGGCTGGACCAAGGCATTTTGTTGCTCGAGACATAACATCAAATAGTCAAGATGCACATTACCCTCTCTGTCCAGGATGGCTGGGCAGCCTCAGAGGTCTTGAAGGCCAAATCTTTGCCCCTAACTTCCACTGCTCTTTTAAGCCTTTAAAAGAAATGAAATAAAAGATGGGCCTGGGTATAAAACTTTGGGGTGGGAATGGGGGGCCTAGATGGACCACCCCAAGGTTTCCAGTGTCAAAGCTCCACTCTTGGAACCCCCCCAAGAAATGAAAAAAAGATTTTAAAAATTAATAATAGTTTCAATATCATTAAAAATCCACACACACACACACATCTCCCACACATACTGCAGTCTGCAGGTAAATGGAAACAGTTATAGATTAAAATCTTCTCTCCACTTCAGAGTGCCTATTGATTATGTGAAAATGTTAATTCAGCGTATATATATTCAATAATTAACAGACTTAAAAGTTATTAGGCGATGACAGTACTATGCACTCCTGGAACCCCCCCAAGAAACGAAAAAATTTTTTAAAAAATTAATAATAGTTTCAATGGGGGAGGAAAGCATCAGGGGACCCCAGGGTCACAAAAATGCTCCTGGGGCAGCAAGTAGCCCCCCCAACCACTACCAAACAAGTTAAATTATTTTGAAACCAGAGGCAGAAATCTCTGGCAGTAGAGGCTGAATTAGTATATGTCCATAAAAGAATAGATTGGGTAAGAGAGCACTAGGCTTTTCTGGACACCATAATCAAATGACTCCAAAGGAAATTATTTCTGGAAAAGTAGAATCGAACTATACACTATGGGATTTTCCAAATGGGGCATTTATAACACCTTGTTCTGTGTTACTTTTTCTCTGTTTTGATATGGAAGAACATAGGATTTTCTTGTATTCATTGCAATTCAAGCTGCATTGCACCACCTACTAGAACGGTGAAACCAAGACAGAAAATAAAATAAAGTCATCCTACCCCACTATTCTGTTTTGCAGAATTGAGCTTGTCCAAGTAAACAGCACCAAGCTGCTTATCACAAAGTCTGAAAGAAAACAGCATTTGTGATCTGGGCAAGATCAATCCTGCTCCAGCTGTTCCTTAGTCACAGCTAAACCAGTCCTCCTAACCTAGTAGCTTCCTCTTTGTTTTTAATCTCCCCATCCCAAGCTCTTTCTTTTTCTATCTTGCTACACTGTTGGGTGAGGGTGTCATTAGCTGCTGTAGGTAGGTAGGTAGGTAGGTAG